AGTTTGGTAATTATTTCCCCGTGGTATCTGGTGTCTCTTCCTGCAAGTTTTCAGAAAAGCCTTATTCCAATCCAGTAATAGATCGCTTCGACAGTTACCTATTCCGAGAAGGTAGCCAAAACAGCAGTAAGTACCGATAGCTGAAACAATCTATGGGCTGTAAGTCTGTGAGATAAGTTCGTTAAATGTCCTTGGGTAGCTCTAGAAAGGTGGAAATTAAATGATATACCCATCTGCAGGTGGTTGAGTCTAGAAGGATTCTCTCTGCAATAGTTCTATTCATCAAAAATAGGTACTACCCCCAGTTCCCCATATTCAAACTTTCCCTTTAAAATTTACACAGTGCCAAATAGAACATAATGATATAATAATAACACTAATGGGGATTTGGCATGTTAGTCTCAGCACAACCTCTCTGGAGTGATGCTGACAGCAACAAACTGATATGGAAATTAAAATCGATATAGTCTAGCAATGTGTAGAATTATTTATAGATAGTAGTTTCTGTAATACATGAATTACATACGTGAATAAAATAATAAAGTACACTAGGCAAGGCCCAGCTGGTTAAACTTAAAATATATATATATATATATAAATTATATTATAATATTAATTATCTTTATGTATGCTAAACTTTATAAGAAATTTTTGATATATTAGTTATTGCTATTAACTTTTTCTAGGGCTCCTAACGATACTACTTTGATACCAGTTTGATACTTAAATTTATTATAAAAACATATGGATAGGTCACAATCCATATATTAAATTTATTATAGATCGGTACCATTTCGATACCAGTTTGATACCAGTTCGGTACTTTTTTGGAACCTTAACTTTTTCTATTGGATAAATGTTGATACAAATATATCAAATTCTTGTTTGTTTACTAAGTTACTAATATGTTTATTAATTGCTTTATTTTATTAAGAAGAATTAAAAGAAAATAAAAAGGTGTACTAGAGATATAATCTTTTATATAATAACTAAAGCTATATGATACTTGCTTACTTTATCAAGGATTAAATCTCTTTATTATTATCTGTAGCTGGATTAACTATTTAATTTCTTACTGGTCTAAATGTTACTTAAAAATATTCAAGGTAAATATAAGAGTTTAAATATATTAAAACAGTTTAAACAATGAGTTATATTCAAGTCAAAAATAAAATTACAAGTTTTAGAAAAGGTAATTATTTTATTAACTCAAAGACAAAAATATAATCTGAATCACTATAAAGATAAAAAGGTCTTCTTTAAATAATTATTCTTCATTATATAAATAATCTATAAAAATACATAAATAAAAATATATATTATTAATATATAAGTTTTTATTGATTCTTCCAGAAGGTCTTATATACTATAAATGTAAAATAAAAAAAATATTAATATAATAAATATTAAATACACTTAATAATAATGTCTTATTTCTCAAATAAGTATAAATATAATAAATACAATAATTAATAATAATAATTAATAATATTTTGAAAAGTTTCATAATATTATAGAAGGTTTTAGAATATTTCACAAGGTTCCAGGAAGTTTTGTGATATTTTACAATATTCTGGAGTATTTCAGGATATTTCAGAGATTTTTGGTCACATGGCATGTAACACAGTAAAAGTAGAAAAATTATTACAATAAACTTATAACTGGTTCTTACTACTTGAATAGTAACTTATATAATTTTGTACAAAACAGATCTTATTGTTAAATATCTTATTAGGATAAACATTACTAAACTGGTTTATTATTGAATTAAAATAATACTAAAACAAGAATTTATAAGAAAGATATCAAATATTAAAGAAGTAATTACCAAACATATTTGTTGAAAATAAATATCTTATATATCTTATAACTTTTAGAGATTATTATAACATTAACTAGATAATCATCACATTATAATACCTTTTTTGAAGATTACAATTTCAATATCTATTAGATCAGTATATAAAATATCTTCTTATAAGAAACAATGTTTTTAATAGATTATGGTATCAGATATCATATATGTTTTATATAACTGCCTTTATTTGGATTGAACCAGTATCTTGTAATCTAATCTGTGAAATACTAACAACTGTACTATAAATCCACAAATATATCAATTATATTATATTCAATTAATTAATAATAACAAAGAAAAAATTCTTATTTAAAACTTTTTTTTTGAAAAATTTTTCTCCTTCCCCTTTCGTTTCTCTTTTTTTGCTAAAGAAGCAGGCCGAGTCTGAGATTTACTAATATCATATGAGGTTTTGCTAACTATCTGACAGTATACCTAGAAGAAGTATTTATGTTTAGGAAAGCATAAGCAGACTAACTCTTGTATATGACAACAGTCTAAGACAAAAACTAGGAAGATGCCAGAGTAACCAATTTTTTTTTGCATGGCTTTGTATATGTCTGATAATCACAAACATAAGAATAATTTATTCTTTTTTTCTCTTTTCTTTTTTTTTTCCTTAAATTTCCTTTCCTACTAATAAACAGTTTTTCTATTCTCTTAAAGGTTTTCTTTCTAGGTCTCTCTTTCTTTTACCATTTCATTTCATCAATTCTCTGATTTGTTATCTCCCTATCTTAACCAAGCTATCAACTTTACTCAAGTCAACATTTTACTTACTCAAGAAATGTGAGCTTTTTCTTAAGATTTCTTCTCTTGTCCTAAAAAACTTAATACAGAAAAGATCAACTTAGTTTTATTCTGATTGAAAAGTCAGAATCATAAGATTGTCATTGGTTTTATTTTCCTAAAAGTTCTAGGCACACCTTTCTATAATCAATAACTATATGTCAAGTCAGTCAAATGTGAGAAGAGATTGTGAAAGAAGAAAATTTGATTGGCAGTATCAATTGCATAAGGATTTGCTTTGCTGATAACCTAGACTGCCAACCAATATGTCAGAAACATACAATTATAAGTAACTCTATCTTGAATACCTGACAATATCACTATTCCACACATTATTCAAGAAGAATGACTACAGGACTGTCTTTTTGTCTTACTCAGCTCTCAAATTTTTTGTAACAAAAACCATGAGCAGCTTACTTCTGTCAAAAGATTAGTATAAGCCAATCATGCCATATTGTTATCTGGGTTATCAATATGGACAGGATTAGTGACTCTTAATTATATTTTTCTTGATCACAATCCAAAATCCAAGCACCACATTACTTCTTGTCACCATTACTTATGGAGTATATATACAAGGTTTACAATACAACTAATAGCTAGCTATTTTTTATATATTTTTTCTTTTTCTCTACTTGGGTTCTCAAAGATTTGCATATGTCAACTTTATTTACTTTGGCTAGAATTTATTTACTTACTTTATATATTAGAAATCATTAATGTAATGACAGAAAAACAAAAGTTTAATAAATGTTTCGCATTTAATGCCTATTTGCAAAAAAGAAAAGAAAAGAAAAGAAAAAGAAAAAATTCTTATTTATATTTAAAAAATAATATTGAATAAGTTGTACTCAAAATAGATATAATCTTATAATAGTATAATGATTTCTTAATAAACATAAAAGAATAAAAAAAATAAAAAACTTATTATAATTAAAGAGACTATAAGCTCTTAATAAACAAAAAAAGAAGCAATTTTGCAAAAAGTTATTAAAGAGTGGTACAAGATTTTATATGACATAATTAATGATCTGGGACTTGGTGTAGTTTAATAATTGCAGTTAGAGTGTTGCACCATATGGAATTTATTTTCATATAATAGAAAAGGTCACTTTTATTAGAAGCTAAATTAATTGCATATATAAATTAGTATAAAAAAATAGAGTGAAAACAATTTATTATTGATAACATATTACTTTTATTAATAAATCAAGTGTTGAAATTGGCAAGCAATTATTTCAAATAAAAATATAACATTATATAAAAGAAAGATATGATATTGATTACATAACACCAAGTTTTAAAAGTAATAGACATTTATTAAAAATCTGGGGTACTTTATAGAAGAGTTAAAAGATCCATTAATATTTTGTGATAAATACAAGAAAAAAAAAGAAAAAATCAAAACAGAAACATATTTAAAAATTCTTAAAGATAAATTCTTACCATTTTTTAATATAACACATTCATTAGCTAGCCAAGATATAATGTTTCAATAGGACAATTCCCCTATTCACACTGCAAATAATGTCACAAAATGGTTCAAAAAAAAAAAAATCAAAATTAAGGATTGCCAACCAATTCTCCAGAAATTAACCCTATCAAAAATGTTTGGAGGGTGTTAAATGATAAGATCCAAAAACAAAAGGACTTCTCATGAACTATAGACGAACTTAAAATAGCCTTGAGTAAAGCATGGTCGGAGTTAAATCTGTTTATTTTAAGGAGAGTTATTGATTCAATACCACATAGAATCCAAGCAGTATTGGATGCAAACAGTGTCCCTACAAAGTATTAACATAAAAAAATTAAATAAAATAATGTGCGCATATAAATTTCCGATTTGATAAAAAATCAAGCGTTGCTTTTGGTGCCTACTGTATGTACTGTAGATACATGTATTGATTGTTAAACGAAAAGACAGATGAACGATAAGAGATATAAGCAGTGAATTTTTTGACACAAAAGTTTTTAGGATATACAGTATATTTCCACCAAACAGAAATGTACTGTATATCTCAAGCATTCCGGAAAAAGGAGTACTACGATAAAAATTATAAATTTTTTAATGTCAAAACTAACATCAATGTTGAAAAGAGATTCGCTGTTTTGCTTTAAACACTTTGTTTCAAGTGGAATGCCAAGAAAAAAAAACGAGGTGTGAAAAGAGAAATTTTCCAAAATTTGATTGATAGGACTATTATTTTGGTGGCACTCGGTGATACGCTCTAGAGCTGAAGATGGTGTCATTGGTGGACGTTGATTATGGTCAGAAATGGTAGGACTACTATTTCGTTGCATATTTGTGATACTAAGATCTTTGTTGATGACTTAATTCGGAAATTTTGGAACATCATTTGACGATGTAAATCTGGTTGCCTCTGGCTCTATTGCATTCATTGCCTCGTTGGGTATGACACAGCTTCATCAGTTTTTGAAGATGCACTATCATATGGTGAAACTGGAATTTCTGTTGTTTGTTTCCATGACCAATATCGTTATTATGACGACATTCATCGTAGGAATATGAAACTTCTAAATGCTCCAAATATGAGCGATGATATGGCAAAGTACACAAAAACGCTAACAATTATCGAGAGTATCAGTCGTAGCTTCTTAATCCTTGTTTCAAGTTTCTTAATTTCATCGGTTTTGCGCGACCCGCTTCTTTTGTATCCTCAATGTGCCTCAATGTTATTCCGGTCAATCGGCTTCCAAAGTAAATCAAGGAAGCGATGATGACCCAGCAAAAGAAGCTCCAGACAATGTAATGTAAGGTTATCCAAAAACTTGCTTTCTTAGGTTCATTACGATCCATATTAAAACCCGAGAGGATTGCAAATTCATTCAAAGATACAATTTGGCCTAATAGTACAAAGAACCCGAACGCGTCAACAATCATCGGTTGCGGAATCCAGACTCCTTTTGCATCCAATGAAAAAAACTGGTATGGTCGAGTGTAAGAATTAAGATGACGATGCGAGGTGTGAGATCGTGGAATTGTGTATATTAGTCTAATCAAATATAAGGCCAATAGAATCGTGAAGGTCACATCATGGAAAACATGTTTAGTAACAGAAAGCATTCTAATGAGCGTGGGCGTAAGATCACCGCAATCAATTTTTGACCTCTCACCGCCGTTCGCCAAATTAATAATCCTGTGATCATCAAAAGACAATATTGGCAGGTAATACAAAGTTATGAAAAATAATGATGTTTCGGAATAACCGAGACGAAGTCACGGGAGGGTTATTATCGCGAGGATCGGGACCTGGGTACATTTTTTTTTGTGTGAGTGATGAAGTGAAAATGATGTAATGATGATTATTGATGAATCAAGACTAGTGCGATTATGTAAAAAATCAAAATAAGTTTTCTTCTGCTGTTACGTTTGCCCGAAACTTTGATTTCCGGATTATCGAATTTCCCCTATTAATGCTAGCACACTACGCATGACGATACTCTTCATCAGTTGCCAATTAATTTCGGATTTTGAGAGCACGGCTGTGTACCTCCCACGTGTTGGAGAAATTGGAACAAATTTGGACACTTCGGAGTATGGTAGTACATTGAGTTTGAATTAAGGAGTTTGATAAATCGAAAGGCGCGACTGTGTACCCCCCACAACGTGTCATTTGAGAAGCATGCCGTGTACTTCCCACGACATGCCGGTAGAATAAACACAGTTACTCACCTCTCTTAAAGAGTTTTGAAGAACAAGCATGGCTGTGTGCTCCCCACGACATGTTGGAGATTGTAGCATGGTTGTGTAACCTCCACAATGTGCTAAGGGAAATATTTCGGAACTGCCGTTCTTGGTGAGGTAATGAAAGCAGTTAAAAAATAATAGACAGACGTTCTTCGGATCAAGCGGCATGCACATTCCCATAATTACTTCATCGATTTACTACAGTACATGTGAGAGATCTGAGCGAGAATAATATACTAAAAATAGTATCGTGAGAGATGTTAAAAGTGTTAAAGAATGTAAATCTTGGACTCGTTTCCAAGTTTTAATATCGATATTAATAATAACAATTAATTTTTATATGCTGTTCAAATTAATATAATATCTTTATCTAATTATGTGAAAAAATGTAATTTTAATTTGAAATCTATATTACAATATTCCCGATTATTTTATTAAGAGAAAAATTCTTTATGTAATTCGAAATAATATTTTTAGTTATTTCTTGCTTTTTGATTTATAAAAATGAATTAAATTTTTATAAAGTCTTTTGATTTTAATTTTATAATTTAAAAAAAAGAAAATATGTTTTTAACAAAAATAATAGATAAAATTATTATTATACTGTATATACTATATGTATATTTTGTTATTTATTATTGAAAAATAAGTATAACGATAATTAATAACTTACTTTTGAATCTTTAATTAATTCTTTGTTATAATTAAATCATAAATAATACATACTGTATATGGAATCGCGATTTTTTAGGCAAATGTTCAAAGAAATAGTTCGATTTTATTTATTTAATTTTTTTTTAAACAAAATATTTAATAAAAAAGGTTTGCCCGTTCGCGCGGAGTAATCAGAAAGTTGCTATATAAAAATTATTGGGATTAGCAGTTCTAATGGTAAAAGAAAGAAATTTTTTCCGATATCGCATACAATGACCGATTGAATGATTTTCTTTTAATTTGGTAAATTCCGTTCGATCTATACAAACAGAGATCAAATGAGATAATTGAAACATGACATCTATTCTCTGTCTATCCTTTTTGGCTTTGGCCGTTACCTATAAAAAAAGAAATTTTTTTCTTATCATGTTTGATGGCCACAAAACTTGTTTATACATAGTTTTTCCATCATACTGTACAAGATGTCTTACTCCGTTAGGATCTTATTCTCTTCATTATTATACAACAATCATTATACATCGCTGTTGTGACAGATTTCACAGATCAGGTGCTACAGCAGTTGTTTTTAGGGTGACACTTCGATTTTTTGAATCTCAAAATAAAAAATCAATAAAATAGAATACTGCATCCACATTATCTGGATTCAATATGGTTTCCTCCTCAATACGTTATGTGGTACAAATTATCTTCTCCTCTTGCTAGAATATGTAAATGCTATATAAACACCTTAATTCCTGAATGTCAATAGACAAATAAACTTTATCGCCATTTTTTTAAATCACTTTTATTATGAAAAATCAAGTTATTTACAGATTATACTATACTAATAGTCAGGGAGAAACCTTCTATATTGAAGAAGGCTGGGTTTTTAATGTTAATGATTTAACATACCCTGTCCTAATGGGTCATTTAACCGACGCAATATTAATGAACTCGATAGGTGCTTTAACCTTAAAATCTTATCAAACTGAAATTGGTGTTTCCATTTTAACCAAACAACACGGATGCAACTTCTGTGGTAAAGCATTTCAATCTCCGAGCGCGTTAAAAATCCACTATAACTCTCATACAGGGGAAAGACGTAAGTCTAATGTTCTTAACAAATTATGCATTTATTACCTTCAGGATTATGTAAGTTAACTAGAAAATAACTTTTTTAGCATATACATGTCAAGTTGAAGGATGCGGAAAATCTTACACCACACGTAGTAATCTCTTTCGTCACAAAAAAAACCATGCTAGAGAATAGGCAACGCGTTTCTACTTCTAAATGTGACAAAAAATATCATTAAAATTTTTCTTTATTTAAATAGCGCGTCTCTCGAGAATTTATTTAATAAATTGAAATGTTCTAAATTATTGAGTGTTTTTATTAAAGAAAATCGATTGTCATATGTTAATATAAAATTGCTTGAATATATTCGAAGGACCCAAAATTATTTATCTGTTAAGCAATTTAAATGTAAATTTAAGAAATAATTCAGAATACCGCGTTTAACACTGCGGCTCCTTATTTTTAAAAGTCAAAAAAAAAAAAAGCCTAATAATAAAAAAAACCTGGTTCGAGCTAGAACTATCTTTGAATGTGTATGTTATTCTGATTTAACTTTAGGCTAGGGTGAAAAAAAACATACAAGAGGAATTTCTTTTTGGTCAATAAATCAATACTGCCAAACGATTATTGCGGGTGTAAACTGATGCATAATAATGTAATGAGTGTTCTAGTCACGTGTAACGTCGAAAAAGGCGTTTAGGATGTGGCACGAGGTAAGTGAATATGTTAGATAATTGAATGAGTAAGTGTTTAGAAGATAGTTTATTATTGTCTTTCTCTCTGTACAATTCTCTCTCTTTTTATACGTAAAAATATCTCTCAAAAATCTCAAAAATCCTACAAATCCCTCAAGCCCCAATAATATCCTAATTGGGCGATGACATTGTGTGCTCTACTACAAACCTTTTACCCTTTTACATGATGAACCAAAATTGATACACAACTTGTTTTAAATAAGTGCATTCAATCCAATGGCCTTAAATATGCCGATAAAGTTATACCAACAAAAAAAAAGTACCGAAGAGATGGCAGTTACACAGAACCAACCAATCAATGTTTAGTAATATGCTTTATTTTAGCGACTACGGTCAACTCTCGATAAAAGAAAATCTGATGATACACGGGGTTTTCGAAAAAATCAGAAATTTTTTTTAAATGTAAAAGTGACTACATAATAAACTTTTTATTTTATTAAGCATATATGCTTTTATGTACTAAGTAAGTATGATATAGACAACTAAATCTATTTACAATGAAAGTTTCGTTAATTTTAAACAATATTTTATCAATAGAAATTAGGGTTTATATTTTGTGTGCCGATTTTTTTTATTTTGATTCTAATTTTAATTTATATTATTTTTAAAACTAGTGTTTTAACAAATAATCTATAATCAATAAATATTATTTGTTATATTTTAAATTATTTGTGTATCAAATTTTATAAATTTATATTAAATTCTAAAAAAAAATATTTAATAAATAAAATTGTTACTATAAATAAACTAAATTTCAAAATTTTTATCATTAATTTATAATTATAATTTCTTATAAATATTTTTGTTTTATTATGTAAATTAAACTTAATAAAGTAAGCAAACTTATGTTTTATAATGAATTTTATCTATAATAATCATTTTTTAAAAAAATTTTAATAAGGTCATTAAATTATAACATGTAATTTTAAATAAATATAAATTAAATTAATAATGTACTTTTATTTAAATTTAAAGAAAATTTTACTGAATGTAAAACTTGTTATTAGAAATATATTTACTTGATTGATCAATATTATATTAGATAGTAAACAAATGTTTTGTATAAAAATTTCATAACAAATCAATTATAAAATATAGTTTTTTTTTATTTTTAATCAGATTGCAATTCTAAGTATTTATTAATCTTTTAAAGAACAATAATACAATATATACTATGATATTATATTAAATCTAACTATAAGTATTACAAAACACTTGTCAATATGTTATTTATATATTTATATATGATCCTTGAATCTTTAATATTAAAATCATCATATTGCTTATATAATTTAACTATTTACTAACAATCTTATTACAAAAAAAAATTTATAAGCTATTACTATATAATATTAACTATTTTAATCTTTTCAAATCTTAACTTTTTAGATATAAATATAGGAAATAATAAAAAAATTCTTTTCAATAATATTTTTATCAAAATACAATTGTTTTATAATTTATTATAATTTATAATTATTTTTTTTATAACATCTAATCAGACTGCAAAATAAAAGTATTTATTAATTGAATTTTTGAAGAATAGTAATACAATACACATGAGATTATACTAAAGCCAAACTAGTACAATTTTGCAGAACACCTGTCAATAAATTTATATTTATATGTAATTCTTGAATCCATAATACCAAAACCATTGTATTGTCCATATGATTTAACTATTTACTAACTATCTCATTATAAGAAAATAGATTCATTAAGCTATTATTGCATAATATTAATTATCTTAGACTTTCTAACCTGAACCCTCTAAATATGATCATAAAAAATAATAATATTGATCCTTTTCAAGATAAGATATCAGAATATATATTGAAAAATTAATGCCAGTCTACATTCAAACTATTATTTTCAAACAAACCTGTAGTTCT